AAACTTCGAACTTCTTTCGCATTCTTTGGCCTGCTCCAATCTTGAACAGCCGCCACCTTTGAGGGATCCACCGAAACTCCCTGCTTTGAAACTACGTGGCCAAGGAATGCTACATGGTCAAGCCAGAACTCACACTTTGAAAACTTAGCATATAGCTTATGTTTTCTCAGTGTCTCTAGTACTTTTCTCAAGTGTTCTTCATGCTCCTCCTTTGACTTTGAGTAGATCAAAATATCATCAATGAAAACAATGACAAACTTGTCAAGAAACTCCCTGAACACTCTATTCATCAGATCCATAAACGCCGCGGGAGCATTAGTTAGGCCGAAAGGCATAACCACAAATTCATAGTGTCCATACCGCGACCTGAACGCTGTTTTCGGGATGTGTCCTTCTTTGATTCTCAGCTGATGATACCCTGAACGAAGGTCAATCTTGGAGAAAATCACTGCGCCCTTCAACTGGTCAAACAGGTCATCAATGCTAGTGATAACCACTTTCGCGGCGTTGTAGTAAAACGGAGTCTAACCTTTCGGTTTTTCCCCGAGTGTCGTGTCTCTTGAGGAATGGCGGAGAAGTTTCTTAATTTAATTTTAGTCACGGGCTATCGCTAATCGTTGGAAGCTTTTTCAATATAGGAAGTGATTTTGTTCAATATTATGCTAATTTATAACTAGGAGCAAGGGCAATTTAAAGATTAATGTATTAAGATTGAATATTCAAGGATGCAAATAAGGGCAATGAATTGAGTAATTAGAAATGGATATGTTCTTGGACCTCTTAATTAGGGAAATTAAGACTAAAGTTGGACTAATAATTTCTTTCCTCATAGACAAGAATAGAAACTATCTTCATTAATTTATCCTATTTCTAGGTGTCATTAATGTGTTTAAAATGGTTGGCTTAAATTATTTTCTAAACCCATAGGCAAGGTAGAAATAATTTTCCAATATTTTAATTAATAAAAATAGCCAAATTCATTAACTAGTTAAACTCTTTATTTTAGCAATTGAATTTATTTCTCATAGACAAGATGTAAATCCTTTTCATTAAATTATCCTATTTCTAGGCCTTATTAATGTGCTCAAATATGGTTGGCTTAAATTAATTTCTAATCTCATAGACAAGTTAGAATTAATTTTCCAAGAATTTAATTAATGAAAATGGCTAACTATTATTAATTACTATTTCATCATTTTAAACAACTAGTCCAATTTATTAATTTTAACCCCTAAGTTTAGGTCAACAAGTCAATCCATATTCCTTTTCTCAATTCATGCCCTAACAAATTTAGCTACTCATCATCATTTTTACAATTAACAATATAATGATTAAATTCAACATTAACAAGGAATTAAACATGTATGATAGCAAAAATTAAACAAAAATTATATTCTGGAACAATAAACTTGTAGGAACTAAAATACAACTTTCTGGAATTTTTTACGAATTTTTGAACCTAAAATCCAATTTTAACAACTAATTGATAACTTTCCCAATTTTAACTAGAAAATGCAAAAAGCAACTAAAAATATGCTAACTTCGTTAAAAATTTAATTTTTAGCTACTGGGAGTGATATTACTGTGAATAAACTGTAATCAGGTCCGAAATATTTTTTTTCTTCTTTTTTTTTTGTATTTATTTTGATTTAAGCAATAATATAAAGTAATTACCGAAATTAATAAAAAAAAAATACTCTAAATTCGTACCATATTTTATATTAACTACTAGTAATGATATTTAAGTTAACTAAACTGTAAATAGGGCCGAACTCATTTTTTTCTTTTTTTTTCTAGTATTTAATCTAAATTATGAACTAATATCAAATAATTACCAAAATTAATTAAAAATTACTTCTGGTTCGTGAAAATTAACTTTAATCAGGTAATTAACTACCTTGAGGCTAGTGAACAACTATATAATTAATTGGAATGAATTCAACAACAATAACTATTTTATTTTATTTTTGGAAGGAAATGCGAAATACTTGAAAAATATTCTGGGAATTTTCGAAGAACAGATCGAAGAAACAAAGCACAGATTCAGATTCTACACATTGAGAAGATGAAAATACATATAAAGAACTTACAATTTGGAGCTAAAATGAAGAAGATATGAAGATTTGAAGTTTCTCTCTCTCTAAACCCTTTGGAGCTCGAAAATGGAGGAAGAAAGAAGGTGTTTTGAACTGATTTAGGGTTGGAAGAGGTGTGTTTGAGTTGAGGAAAAAGCCTGGTTTTTATAGCAGAAGAAATCCCGAAGGCGCCTTCTGGCAGCCTCTGGCCGCCTGCCGTCCTGTCGCCGGCAGACCGTCGGTGGCCGGTCTCCGTCAGCCGTAGGCGGCCACAGAGGGCGGCCGCCTTCTGTCACAAATGGCCGCCTGCCGTCTTTTCGTTGGCAGATCGGATCCCGGCGGATCCCGGCGGATCCTGGCCGCCGCAGGCGGTCCAGCAGGCGGCCGCCTGCCGTCCTGTCTGGCCGCCTGCCGTCCTGTCTGGCCGACCGGTGGTTGGTTTCGTCCCCTTGTGCCGTAGGCGGCCGCCTTCTGTCCAGTGTCGGCGGCCTACGGTCTTTTCCAAATTCGGTCAAAGTCAAAGGTTGACTTTCCAAAAATACCGTAGGCGGCCGCCTGTGAGATTATTTGTCCGGCTTGTTCCTTGTTTTGTGCTCTTCAATATTGTCTTCTGGACCACTTTGAAATAATATTTCCTTCTTTCGGTATGATATCATTTGTTGCCCATATTGGCTCATTTTGTGCTCAATTGACCCGAAATCCCGCTAAACATATTATGGATGTGATTTTTACCTGATTTCATGAAACTTGAACCAAAATATATAAAATGTGTCTTTTCTTTCTATTTTCATTCAAAAATTGCTTAAATTTGATAAGAAAAATAAGTACAAAAAATGGACTTATCAATCTCCTCACACTTAAGCGTTGCTTGTCCTCAAGCGACGAATTAGTTGTAAACACACTCAAAAGGTAAAGCCTAACTGTATTACAATCTAGTCGCTATTTTAAAGAAGTAGAAACAAAAACCGCTTCTTTTATTCTCAATCTTTAAACATTTTAGAAAAATCACCCAAAATACAAGAATTTAAAATTAGTATTAGTTAAGAAAAACTATTTATTATGTTAAACCACCAATCAATTCCTTATCCCAAGGTTTTTCATTATTCTAATTTGGACATTTATCTTGTTCACCATTTTTTATTATTTTTTTTTAATTTTTTTATTTTGCTCTTTTTCACTCTTGTTGGCGGTGTTATCCCATGATAAATGCATATTTCATTCTCACAGACTGTGATTAACGAATGAAACAGAGCCCCTTTTCGGAGATGGAATTGTCCTATAACAATGAGTTTTGAAGAGGTTTATTAGTAACAATTTTTTTTTTGTATGAATAAAATATATGTCCAATTAAAACAAATTCAGGCCTTTACATTCACAACCAAAAACCCATAACAAATTTAAGTTTTCTAAAAATAATAATAATAATAAATTCTTATAATAAGGGTGATTTTCTAAACTATTTTGTGATTTGATAACAAATTGAGAAATTAATGTTTCATATCAAAAATAGTAAAAAGATTGTTCTAAAACAAGGTTTTAACTTTTGAGTGTAAAACGCAACCTCCTCACACTTGAGCTGGACCTCGCCCTCGAGGTCTTCTTTTGAGGCACAAAATTGGGAAATAAAGGCACATTTTTTTTTTGTTTTTTTTTGTTCCTTCCTCACACTTGAGTTTTGAAAAGATTTTGTGAAGAGGAATAATGAAACAGGAGTAAAATGGTTTTTTAAAATCCTTACATCATCCATAGTCAGTTTGTAAGAGCATTCAAGTCAAAAGAGCAGCGCAATGTCCAACCTGAAGAAACAAACAAACACAATAAAAAATGTTAAGGAAGAAACAAAACTAAGCATCGCCTGCGTAATCCCGAGGGCCATAGTGTGGCCTAAGCCAGTCTCTCATCTCATCAATATCTAGCCTCTGGGTCTCTAACTCCTCCTGCATATCCCGGGTGGCTCTCTCCTGAGCTAATCGAAAGTCTCTGAACTCTCCTAGGGCCGTCGCATGCGCATCTCGCATCTCCTGGAATCCTCTCTCCTGTGCATCTCGTATCTCAAAAACTGAAGTCTGGAGACTCCGCATCCCATCCATCATCGCTCTCCAATCTGCGGCGCTAGGCATGTATGAAAAGGGCTCGCTAGATCCCTCATGTCCTATATATATATATATATATATATATATATATATATATATATATATATATATATATATAGAGTGCTCTTCTCATCAGGCCGGCCTGACGGGCTGCCCCGTCCGGCCGAGCCCGTTTGGGCATCTTCCCGGTGGAATTTTTTGATGAAATTTTTTGAGCATGTTCCTCATCAAGTCTAGTTTGTCCATACCAAATTTCAGCTCAAAATTCGATCGGGAAGGTCGTCAAATGATTTTTGCAAGTTAACTGGTCCGGAATATGTATTTTCCGGACCAGTTAACTTGCAAAAATCAGTTGACGACCTTACCGATCGAATTTTGAGCTGAAATTTGGTATGGACAAACTAGACTTGATGAAGAACATGCTCAAAAAATTTCATCAAAAAATTCCACCGGGAAGGTGCCCAAACGGGCTCGGCCGGACGGGGCAGCCCGTCAGGCCGGCCTGACATGAAGAGCACTCTATATATATATATATATATATATATATATATATATATATATATCGCTTTAACAACAGCTAAACTTTTGATTTACGAAGAAACTAACTGAAAGCCTCAAATTACAACCCACTCACTCAAAGCTTTAGTAGTGGCGGCAGTAAGGTTTGATTTCAGGAGTTCAAAACTTTTAACAACTAATCCACTTCAAATCATTAGAATTCAATCAAGGATTTATCCACTATCAAGAGAGAAATTGGTTTGCCGATGGTTAGAGAGCATCAAACTGAAACTATGCATTAAAAAAAATGTGTGAAGTAGAGAGTTCAATTTACCAGGTAAGAGATGTAATCCAAGACTCAATCTAGCGGTAAGCTTTGGTCGACTGATTGAAAGAGAAGAAGGAGATGCGGCTAGGGTTTGCAATTGCGGCCGACCCGTTGGATACCCGCACCAAACCGATTTGGTCAAACTGGGGAAAACCGGTTTGACTGGGGAATGGGTACGGGGCGGGGAATACCCGAAACTTTTAAATGGGTAATGGTGCGGTTATGGTTCTATGCTAATCCATCCCGTTACCCGCCCCGAAACCGCTCCGTTCACTAATGGGGTGGGTACCCGCACCGTTACCCGATCCGTAATATTATTTATAAATTATTAATTTTTATATATAAGAATAATAAGTATTTATCATATAAGTATATAATGGATAACTAAATAATACTCCAAGAGTTCAGCGGCCCACTTCAAAGAAACCCTAACAGGCTAACATCCCTCTTCGTCTTCGATGTTCTGCGGATTGCGACTCAGAGGCTCAAGGCTCTGCGCCTCTGCTTAGAATAGCTCTCTTCGATCCTTCGAGATGGAACAATGCTAGGCCTCCAGACTCCAGTTCGTCTCTATCGCCGGTGGCATCTAATCTTTCTCACCATCAAGGCTTCGACCTAGTCTCTTCTTTCTTCTTTTTTCGGAATCACTCCTGTCAAAGTTAAGTTTTCTTGTGATTAATAAAGAGTTTGTATTACAGTTTGGTGATTAATGTTTTTACATCATTAAGATCTTCAATTTTATGCATGGAGATTCTTTCTCCAGAATGTCTTCGCAATTCAGGAATTCGATCTTTTAGGTATTTAAATGGAAGAATTGCTTATTACTTCACTATTTGGTGGGGGATGTAACCGATAGGGGTATATACTTCCATACTATTATATGTTTCAAATTTTATTAGAGCATATGTTTGATATGAATATACTTGCATATAGTTTGTAAGTTTATACGTATCAAGTTTTGCTCTTTTACTACCTAAGTTCAGCCCGCCTGCCCCTAACCATCCTAACTCCCCAAAATAGTTTGTATTAATATAGAGTTTGTATTACAGTTTGGTGGTTTGCTAGATGCCTGTCTTGTGGTTAATACAGAGAGTGTATTACAGTATGTTGAGTTTGCTGTTTGCTAGATGCCTTATTTTTTATATTAATACTAATTAATTGTTTGTATAATAATATTATTGATAGATTATGGCATCACAAAGTGCTAGCACCCAAGATTCAATCGGTGTAAATGGTGGAACAGGAAGTCAATCACTGCCTGTTGAGAATTCTATTGCCGATGAGTCCAGGCAGATGGGAGAGGCAAATCAACAAGATGCGATTGAGCAGATTGGGAAGAAACGGAGTAAGTGGTGGGAGTACTATAATGTAATTAAGGTAAACACCGGAGTAGTTATTTTATTGTAATTTGATGATTGTGTTCTAAAGGAATTTTAATTTGATGAATGTTATAATTGGTTATTTATCAGTGATCTTACTTTTGGTACACTTTAGACTGTTAATATGATGATTGTTATAAAAAGTTATCAGTCATCTTGTTACAATTGGTAATATCAGTCATCTTATTTATCAGTCATCTTACTTATGGGAAGGGGGAATTTTAATATGATGACTGTTATAATTGGTTTAATATTCAAATCATACTGGATGACTGTTTTTATTTTAATATATGATTGTTTTATCCTCATCTTATTAAGTATCTCTCTGGATGACTGAAACTTTCTATGATGTATAAGTTGTCTCCTTTATACTCTGTATCTATTAGCAAGAAGAAAAGTAAATCAGTATATCTTAACAGAACACTCCTGCATGTCTCTTATTTTCAATTGTTCAGTGATAAGTCCATTTTTGTACTTATTTTTCTTATCAAATTTAAGCGATTTTTGAATGAAAATAGAAAGAAAAGACACATTTTATATATTTTGGTTCAAGTTTCATGAAATCAGGTAAAAATCACATCCATAATATGTTTAGCGGGATTTCGGGTCAATTGAGCACCAAATGAGTCAATTTGAGTGACAAATGCATTTATACCGGAAGAAGCAAGCATTTTATCAAGGTGATTCAGAAGACAAAGTTGAAGAGCAGGAAAAGCCGCATCTGCCAGACAAAAGTGGCCGAAGGCGCCCAAATAGGCGCCCAAAATGGAGGCCTTCGCGGCCGCCTACGGGAAAATTCAGAAGTCAACCTCGCTTTGACTCGGGACCAGGAAAAGACCGAAGGCTGCCGACACTGGACAGAAGGCGGCCGCCTACGGTGGCCGCCTGCGGCACAAGGGGACGAAACCAACCACCGATCGGCCAGACAAGACGGCAGGCGGCCAGACAGGACGGCAGGCGGCCGCCTGCTGGACCGCCTGCGGCGGCCGGGGTCCGCCGGGATCCGTCGGGATCCGATCTGCCAACGAAAAGATGGCAGGCGGCCATTTTTGACAGAAGGCGGCCGCCCTCTGTGGCAGCCTACGGCTGACGGGACCGCCACCGACGGTCTGCCGGCGACAGGACGGCAGGCGGCCAGAGGCTGCCGGAAGGCGGCCGCCTGCCCGGGCGCCTACGGGAATTTTTCGGCTATAAAATCCAGGCTTTTTCCTCAACTCAAATACACCAATTTCAAGCCCAAATCAGATCAAAAAGGGCGTCTTCTTCCTCCTCAAAGCTCGGATTTCCACCATTGTTGCACCTTCAACTTCAATCTTTCATATCTTTCTCATTTTAGCTCCAAATTGTGAGTTCTTTATATGTATTTTCATCTTTTCAATGAGTAGAATCTGAATCTGTACTTAGTTGTTTCTATCTGTGCTTCTAAAAATTTCAGAAAATTATTCCACTATTTCGCATTTTCTTCTTAAATTTGAATAAAATAGTTGTTGACATTAAATCCATTCCAATTAATTATATAGTTGTTTACTAGCCTCAAGGTAGTTATTTATCAAAACAAAGTTAATTTTTACGAAGTAGAAGTAAATTTTAATTAATTCCGGCATTTAGTTGTTATTATTGCATAAATTAAATTAAATACTCAAAAAAGGAAAAAAATTAGTTTCTGTCCTAATTCCAGTTAAATTAACAGTAATATCACTCCTAGTATTCAATATAAAATTTAGAACGAATTTAAAATAATTTTAGTTGCTTTTTGTATTTTCTAGTTAATATTGGGAAAATTATCAATTAGTTGTTAAAATTGGATTTTAGGTTATAAAATTCGGGAAAAATTCCAGAAGGTGATATTTTAGTTCTACAAGTTTATTTTGGAAGAATATTATTTTTGTTTAATTTTTGCTATTATACATGCTTAATTCCTTGTTAATGTTGAATTTATTCATTGTATTGTTAAATGAAAAAATGATGTTTATTAGCTAAATTTGTTTTGGGCATGAATTGACTAAAGGAATATGGATTGACTTGTTGACCGAAAATTAGGGATTAAAATTAATAATTTGGACTAGTTGTTTGAAATGATGAAATAGTAATTAATAATGGTTAGCCATATTCATTAATTAAATTCTTGGAAAATTATTTCTAACTTGTCTATGAGATTAGAAAATAATTTAAGCCAACCATATTCAAGCACATTAATAAGGCCTAGAAATAGGATAATTTAATGAAAGGGATTTACATCTTGTCTATGAGAGATAAATTCAATTGCTTAAATAATGAGTTTAACTAGTTAATGAATTCGGCTATTTTTATTAATTAAAATATTGGAGAATTATTTCTACCTTGTCTATGAGGTTAGAATTTAATTCAAGCCAACCATTTTTGAACACATTAATGACACCTAGAAATAGGATAAATTAATGAAAATAGTTTCTATTCTTGTCTATGAGGAAAGAAATTATTAGTCCAATTTTAGTTTTAATTTCCCTAATTACTAGGTCCAAGAATATATCCATTTCTAATTACTCTATTCATTGCCCTTATTTGCAACAATCCATTTAAGTTTAATATTATATTTTTTCCTTTAGTCTATTTTTGAGCCATCATTAGTATTTGCACAATTAAATTTACTTTCTTTTCCAAAAAGTAGTTAGAAAATCAATCAAAAGTTTTAATTTGGAAAGCTTCCAATAATTTGCGATAACCTGTGACTGGACTTAAAATCAAGAAGCTCCTCCGCCATTCCTCGAGAGACACGATACTCGGGGAAAAACCGAAAGGTTGGACTCCGTTTCACTACAACGCCGCGAAAGCGGTTATCATTCAGTTATGGTTGAGAAGACCTAATATAATATCTTTCTTATACTGATGTGTTTTCTTGCAGGTGCCTCAGGAATCACAACTTTGACATGAATGGAAGGGTGCTCCAAGATGAGGGAATTTGGGATGATTAATGACATGAACATTAATGTTATGGTGTAATGAATTTACGCAGTTAGGCCTAAAACAGTTTTTTTTTTGCGATGGATTACTACTTTTTTAGGCCAAAGTTTTTTGGTGCTCTCATTACTACTTTTAAGATGATGTTTTTTTGCGATGTATTAATGTTATTTTTGAATACATGAATAATAAGCAGGATTAAAAATTGGTTATTTGGTATCATTTGGGGAAACGGTTACCCGTGGATAAACCGATTCCCCGTTGGGGCGGGTACGGTTCAAATAAAAATTACCCGAACGGGTAATGGGGCAGATTTGGGGCAAACATTTATCCAACGGGGCGGTTTCGGTTTTATGTGTACCCGTCCCCGATCCGCCCCGTTGCCAACCCTAGATGCGGCTACTTTTGGTGAAGGAAGAACCGCGTATATGTGTAATATGTAATACTTTTTTTTAGGGCTTTAATCACAATACTAATTTGGGTCAAGATAGTCTATTTGGGTTTCTTCACTTTCTCATAAAAATGTTACTGACCCAATTAATTTATTATATTATCTGTCTCGATAATATACAAATAAATATTAAATACATAATAATATTTATTTCAGCACTTAAGATTTTGGAGCTTACCGGTCAACATTACCTGCCACAAACAAAACATGACAAAAAAAAAGAATTATATCACATTATTCATAGAAGTAAATTCATTAACTGACTAATATAACTAGCTCAGAAAAATTGGGGTGTTACATTCAGATAGTCCGATATGT